TTGGTCAGAAAGCGGCTATCACTTCCAATCATTGTATTCGGCGTCGGCGTTTTCTCGCCATCAGAGCGAAGCATCGGAACGGGGAAAAAACGCCGATTTCATTCAGCGAGCCTCGTCAGTTTCGAGAAGCTTTGCCAACAAAACGATATTTCACTGCGGTTTTGCAAGAGATCGGATTCCGTTGGAGCTTCGCTAAAAAACAGAGCTGTTGCTATCTGGCTAATAAATCGATGATTTGCAATATGGTCTCTCTCGAGTCACGGTGTGAGAAACACAACAACAAAAAACTCGTATTCGGGAAGAGATCGCTATTTCCATCGAAAGACATTCAATCACAGTGTTCATTGTTCGCGGAGATTGAAGGACTCTGCAAGCTTTCTGTCATACAGGGCGAGTCTCGGGGATCGATTGAGAGCAGATGATTAACTTCACTCTCATCTTGATCCGGTCCGAATGAGTCTGAATCGAAGTCTCAGATTTGACAATCGCTCGAGCGAAGACACGTGTCGCCGAACATGTGTTCAGATCGTTTCGAGGAAGCGAGCAGGTCAAACGAAAGTGCTCGGCGAACGCCGGCGCCGTCGTCATGACGTCCATGATCGCGAGCTAGTGTGTTCCGACAGTCGCTGAACGCTGCCGAGTGATTTCGCCCGATTATACACGGGTGTTCGACTTGTCAAACAAAAGTTTTCCGAATCTCTTCCCGCCACTACCAAGCCAAGGCCGCAACAGAAAATATGTTTTCGATGCAGGGCACTCCCGCGTAACGGGTGGACCCGCCATTTTATCTTCGTCTCACAACCTGCGTGGCGGATAACGCCAACCACAAGGGAGCGGTCGTCGTGAAACACAATGCAAACTCAAGAGCGCTTACACTAGGTGACAGCCAGTTAGACTGTCGGACGAGCTGACGCATAGAGAGCTCATGACCGAAAACCGAAAACAGTCGATATAGGCCTACGGACTGAGGCGGGGTGCAGCCAAAGTAGGATTGAAATTGCGGCGAGGCATACTCTTCCCGGCAATCAACACGTACCGTGGTTTAGCGAGCCGTGCTCACCTTCGGATTCAAGCGGACGTAAGCACGCCAACAACGTTCGCCAACGTCGAGAATCGGAAGCTGACGACGCGTTTCGATTAAAAGAAGCGTGACAACCTCGATGGCTCCGGAACTCACTCAAGATGTAAGTGAACCCCGTTTACGAAGGGTCCGAGTCATCTCGCTGATGAGCTCGTCTCGTGCGGAGGGGAAAAACATGTGCGAGGGGCTTGGCTCTCGAAGTTTACGATTATCTTGCCAATGACCTCACCGGGCCATGCATACGACAAGAGCCCAATGGATGCCCCCGAGGATCTGCGTTTTCTCTCTCACCAGCGAGAACAGTCTCCGAGTCCCGGTTCCCTAGCCTCTGACCATGACGACTTCCAGAGTCATCCGGGCTCGAGAGTTGGCATCCGTTCATCACCACCATTCGCGCTTGTCGAGAGCGATAAATTCTCACGAAGAAGTTCCTACATGCGCGCGAGCGAGCAATGAAGGATTCATCTGCTGGAGCCGTTTTCTCTCTTGATGCTCCTGCTCGATGAGAATCGGGACAATTCGCCCGTTGCTTGTCTGGGAGTGTCTTCCCGGGCAAACACAATCGGAACATGGTCATTATGGTAAAACAACAGAGCTCCACCTGACGCCGCCGGCGCTGTCGGTAGTCTTCGAGCTGATGCCCAGCATGGCCAAATAATATGACTCCTCTGATGGTTGCGATTACAGCGCTAACTACCGCGCCTTCCCGACCGCGTTGAGAATAGGTAATGCTTCCCGGTATAAAGACCATCGATCGATACGATTGCCATGCAGCCGTCCCTTTTCCAAAAAAAACGTCGGAGTCGGAGAGAGCCCCTTATGGCTTCATTTTATGGTAAGCGGTTTAGACTAAGGCTTTCTGAGCTCCATAGCCGGAAAATGGAACGTTCGGACGCAGATGGTAGCTAGGCAAAAAAGTATCATGCCTCCCTCGTGTCAGAGGCCATCCGGAAGGTCGCCGCGCTATGAAATGGAGCCTCGGTCGCTAGCTTGCTGACCGCATCATGAATGCACCTATGGACAGACAGTTTAGAGAAAGAATAGGGTGTTCGACTTGTCGTCGATGTCAACCTGTTATCAAGCCGTTTTTTTTCAGGAGAAACCTTCGTCATTCCAGCTATCTTGTTCGGATTCACCTTCCGGAGGAGGATCCCCTCCGGGAACAACTCATTCAGCTTTCGGTCGCCGCACCGGAAGGGTGGCCGGCCGGCAAGCCGAGTTGCGAATACAAACTTTTATCGACAGGTGCTCGAGAGGATCGCTTAGCAATATTTTAGTGGATTGCCACGACGCGGACTCGTACCGGAGTCCCTTAGATTCATCCTGTAGGCTGATCGAATGGACCGAACGAAGCCAGCAGTATAGTCGGAGCCTCACGGACGTTAATGAGCAGGAGAAAATTCGGCACCGCCAACAATCGAATACCAAGTCTGTGATAAAATTGCGCGAGTTCGATCCACTCGACACTCATTGAGAATTCAATCGACTGAGACGAGCGGGAACTCCTGACTTCTGTAGCTGCGGTAGAGACGAATCGCTGCGAAGGATTTTGACGTGAAGCCGACTACCCTCACGCGGGCCAGACCCATTCCTTTCTCAGGAAATATAAAAAAAATGCTAAATAATCCTTTCATGTCGAAGGAAGCGATTTTTCTGCTACCGTCGCAGCCGTCGCAACGACCCGACGACCCTTGGGACGGTCGGTTGTTCTGATTTGCCAAGAAGTCTCCTCTAGAAAGGAAGAAAGAAACAGCTTCCAGAGGGCCGGGGCCAAGGTTTCAAGCTAAAACCACCAATCAGTGCAGCTCAAGAAACAAAAATCATCCTATTCTCATTTCATAAGCTCTTTCATAGCACACGCGGCACAACACAAAGCGTCCTGCATCATTCGCTAGCCGGCTCCCAGCCTTTGATAGCAAAGTCTTATGAGAGCGAATGACACTACGTGTCGGAGCCGCTCCTCGCTTGTGTAGTCTTGCAGATAACACGAATAGGAGCGATAGCATCAGACAACAATTCCATGAAGCCCTGTGATGAGCACTGAATTTACCGAATGAGAAGAGCGCTACGTGTTGAGACTAGCGTATGGGGAGTGTTACAAAGCCCGACAGAAAGGGGTGGTCCACGTGAGCAAAAATCGTGTCACTTGACGAGGTTGGAGGTTGAGCCGAACGTCTGGAAACTACAAGAGAGTTGCGAATCGGGGCTCCTCGCAAAGGTTAGGCGCTTCAAGCTTCGACGATATAACTACTATCTTCTTTTGCCCCGATATCCTGAGCCCCATACGGATCCTAGTCTCTCGCAGCCTCCACTCTCAGACTTCTATCCCTACTCGGTGTCGCGGCTCTCAAGGCACCGAGTGCAGAGCCCGAACGCCCCTGTTCAGTGCTGCCATTCTGCTGTGCCACTGGCGCAAGTCGTTGCACTCTGGGAACATCCATGCGTGACCGTCTACGCAGTCTGTTCCGACAGAAAATATTAGAATATCAGTCGATGCCCTTACAGAGGCACCCTAGCCTGCCCGAAAACAGAATCACGTGCATAGACTACTGATTGTGAGTTACACTCCGGGCTTACTCGCCCCTGAATCCTCTTCACTGATGCATCTGGAAGAATGGGCTGGCCAGGCTAGTTACGCGGCTCCGCCGAATATTCCGGGAACCCACACTGACGACGTTTCCGCTGCTTGCTCGAAGTCGATTTTGATTCAGATAGCAGTTGGCAGCTATGCTCGAGCTAGCGGCAATAAACCCAACGGCGCTGCGCTCCCAGCTCTCACCTATGTAGCACTTCTGCCGAGCTCCGGGCATTGACACCCGTGCGACAAAGCTCAAGGTTCGAAAAACTGATTTGAGAGCCACGGAAAAAAATCGAGACATTGAGCGATTATCGGACAAATCTGATTCGATAATTTAATGAGCCCTCCAGTATTTTCCGCCTTTGTCACCCGAGGACATTGCGCCGCGCAGGTCTCGATATTCAACGGAGGAAAAAACTTGACTACGTGAACACAGTCATGCTCATCTATGTTTCCATATCCTCATCCCGTACTCTGAACGAGCTAGACAAGGATGCCCTACTCTTTCCCGATAAGCCTCAGTACGCTCAACTCGGAGGAAAGAATTCTACATCTTCCACTGAGAAGAGCTTCGGGTCGCGCAAGCTCCTGCATTCAAAATTCAATTCAGGACGGATATATCGATTTTAAAACGAAGGCTGCACCCTCCGTGGATAATCTGGTATCTCAACGACGGTTAGCGGGCCGAAGTAATGTTTCCGCAGCCCGTTGGGAGCGGTCATAGAGCTTCTCTTAAGTGCAATGCTCACTTATCACCAACTCTTATCTTTGACAGAGCCGTAACTTGTTTATTTCGGTGATAGAGAGGTTAAACCAAATGCGGAGGAATGATTCCGCGAACCGACATCCGCAGACACCGGAGCAAAGTCTCATTCGTTCCACAACTCCTCATCTAGCTCCAAGAAATCTCAACGATTTCTGAAGCCAGAAGCGGAGCTTACAGTCGGAGGCCTCGGACTCCGCGCGGGTGCCCTCGCCCCGAGTCCGTCCACCCCGTCTATCTACCCCGGCACTGCGAAGCCACAGGTGCGGAGCAAAGGCCGAAGCGCAATATTTGGATGCGAATCGGGCTCTAGAGTCCGATTCCATTGGTCTCACGAATTCTATCGTTATCGAGACATTCGGAGCAGGACTGTGCCCATCTCTAACGAGCTCGATCAAAGCAATGCCCGCGAATCCACTTTGTACGATTATCATCGCCTAATTTCCGGCTTCCTATCGCGGCACTTCGCTAGATTTATTGGTCTTGCGACCACTCGTTTCAAGAGAACGAATTCCTGTTTTGACGCATCTCCAGCCTCCTGAAAGTCATGCACTGAAAAATCAATTGGGTCAACTCACCAAGACTCCATCCGTAGTCCAATATCGATGAATATCTGGTTGTCACGTGCCGCAATCGATGTTGCTGTTTTATAGCGTCCATGAGTCGTTCGTGGAGTGGAGGTTCTTTCGGAGGTAATTGTTTCAACCGTCGCTGACCGACCGGCACAAGAGGCGGTCTGGATCGGATGAATTCAAGAATCAAAGCGAAAGCGTCTTTCTTTACTCGAGGAGGAAGCTCGCCATTCACCATAACCTGCGTCAAGAGATTGGGGGCACGGGTTAGGACCTTCATTCGGAGAACGAGAAGATCGCTCTAGAGTCCTAGATAGCGATCTTTGATCTCTATGAAAGAACTGAGGCGATGACCTATCAAGACGGTAGCTTGGAAGATATGGAACTCGAATCATTCCGTCTCTACTCGAGGCAGACGCGAGTCTCTGCCAGCCATGTTTGCGCTCCATCCTTATTCGCCCCTCGAGGGAAATACACACAACATTATCATAAGTATAAGTATGGTACAGATGGGGAGATGACTTCAGCACAGATTCCGAGCTATTGATAGACGAGCTAAGGCATGGCCGAAAATGATCGATCACATTCGTCGATCAGTTAAGCGGCGGCAGAAAACTTTAAGAGTTGAGGAGCAAACACACGCCTCGATTTTTAGTTTATATTTTCTGAGAAGATATGGGCGCCAAAGGAACCGGCTCCTTTTTAACACCAGACCGGTGAGGAATCCTCGGCTATTGCCGTCGTTCTTTTTCCGCTCAATTTTCCTCGTTTCGAAACGCGCCTCAACAGCGCCGTCAGTCGTCCGGCAGCTGAAGCAGAAGTTCAGTCCATTGAGAACAATCCATCAATGAAGCACCCGCTGATCAATACATAATGCATTGAACGGTCGAGAATCTCACTCTCGTGTTCCACGTCGTCATTACTCGGCATCTGACAGGTGATCCAAATTTTGCTGTCGCTACTTTTTTCGGAAGCGAACTTCGCAGAGAGAAGCAAGTAGTCGTGCACGATTTCTTCAACCATCGTTCCCTCCATCATCGATTTTTCCTCCCATCCAAATCGAGATTAAACCCATTGTGGACCCCCTACGCTATCAAAAGTTCAAAGCTCCGGACGGTATATGTCAGTCAGTCTCGTTCAGTGGCGGAAATCTTCCGAGCTCGTAACATACTCCAGACCCGAGTGAGGAGTTGAGTCGATGCGAATCGCGCTTCATTCATGTCGCGGAATATCCAGATTTACGTGCTTCGAATAATTCACCTTGTTCAGCTTGTACCGCCTGCTTCGGATGTCGTCGAGGAGCATCTCGTACGGTGTGAGCTCGTACTCTATCGACGGCTCTCCTTGAGGGCGATTATCCAGACAGACTTTCTTGAGAACTACACCCTGTCGGAGTTCTCGTATGACCTGGAAGCAAAAATGAGGATAAGAACTCGCTCAGATTCGAGCACCACATGGAGCGATTGAGAAAACTTGAGAATGAAACAGATGACTGCTCTGATTGTGATCGAGATGGTTGAATGTGCGAGCTGCTACTCGCTGTGTAGAGAGAATTGGACCACGAGGTCATAGGATATTGAGACGGCAAGAAGGATGGGGGGATATCTTGGCTGAGAGAATTAGGGGGAGAAAATTCTCTCAACAATCGTCTTCGAAGCTCTCAAGGGAATCTTCTGGGACGCCGACACGGCGGGCGCCTCAAAGGTTGCCCCTCGTTGTACGGACAGAAGTAGTCGTCTTCTACTAATCAAAAGAACCAGATAGCCGAATGGTGTTACTCATGATGGCCCTGCTTCCCTTATCTGTCCCGAAGGAAAATAGGAGAAAAAAAATAAGAAGCTAGAAGCGATAACCGGCAGCGAGAGAAGCTTTGACGAGAACTTTGTCGAAACGACCTGCGACAGATGAGGCAGCGGCGCGTCGCCATTCCGAGATCGAAGTGGAAAATAGCTCCAACGATATGAAAATCCCGCCAGCTCTAGGTGATCGAGACTTTCCACATGTTCCCGGCGTCAATTGACCGCATATGCGGAACACGCGTTTCCCGATCGAGATTCGACGCGTAGGTAGGTACGTCGACCGATGTCGGCCATCTAGCCATTCATTCAGTTCGCTTCCAAATGAAAAAACGTGCGTTTTCTGAGTAGTTTCCGAATCGTGAATGAAGTTCGTTGACGCGATCCGCTTCCGATTCATGGAATTGGGTGATTCTTTTTCCTTTCTTCAACCCATCGAGGGACCGAAATCGAATCGAGAAGAGTAAAAATAACTTATTAACGCATTTAGCTCGAAAGCTCAATGTTTATCCAGCTTCCTCGTGAGCCTTCCGAGCGATCGATCAAAGACGCAAATCGAGCGAGCTCCGAGTGAGCGATCGATTGACGGAGACGGCCCATCGGAGCCTTAAGCAGAGGATCAATTGACCGAGCTGACGATTCTCATGACGCCGATGATAATGAGTTGATGCCACCGCTCGGATCCACCATCGGTGCACCAGAAAGCGCTCTATTCCTGCCATGATCGTCGCAGTAGCAACCGAAGCAAATAATTAGAGGAAATTGCTTATCAAACAGAGAGGAGCTATCTCTATTCGAAAACTAGAAAATAGATCGTTCCAATGATTATTCTCGACTGTGCTCGCAGCAAATAGAAGTGCATAAATAGAATCCGTACACAGACAGAAATATCACATGTTTATCCGGCCGACGCGACGATGGAGACCAGCGCGGTTCTGTCGTTCGGATGCTGCCACAAGCGACGCAGCTACCGAACAAATGATGACCAATGACAAGCAATTGACCCACAGAGAGTCGGTTTCCACGCGAATATCTCTGTGATACGAGAATGACAAACAGACGAGCAGGTGACATCGAAGTCGGGATACATTGACGCGGCTAATTACTCCCCTCGAGCGGGAGGGCGCGAGCTCGATTCCCGCGTGCAGCCCGCTGATTTCCATGAAGTCAGTGTCTCAAGAAGTAGGGGTCAGTGACAGGTGATCCCTTTAGCGATCGGGTGAGAGGACGATCCGAGTCATGGCTCTGAATGATCCACTCCAGCAGCTCCGTACGGATGCTCTCAGCCCCTGCTTGCTCAGACTCCGACCGTTGAGGCCCGGGGACAAGGTAGGCCATCAAAAACGAAGTTCTCGCTCTCGCCATATCTAGGCTATAAATCGGGCAGTCCGGATTTCTGCTCAAGTTCAAGTCCCGCCTTTTCGGGAGAACCGTTCCGTATTTCAAATTCCGACTGCGGTCCCGTAATCGCTGAGCTCTGGTATGTTCACCGGGAGTCGCAATCATTGCGGAGTACTAACCTGCACCCAAAGTCTCGCCCAGTCTTGGAATCCGAGCTCGTCGAGATTGCTGGAGCTGTCGTCGTCGCCAGTTGCGCAGACTTCGTACGATTTGCTCCGAAGTTCCTGTTGGAGGGAGGGAGCAGACAAAATTAGTGCGCGGAATCAGGTGACTGAGCGGGATGACTGGAGGGAGTCCTTCGCGATCGAGCCTTCGGATACTCACAGGCATACCTCAGCCTCCGCTAGACTTAGGGAACTGAGGTAAAAACATCCCTGACCCCGCCCATTACAAAGCTCTCAGGTAGATCTATGGTAACTCGCTAGACCAACTCTGACTGAGCTCTCCGCGTTTCGCAACGATTTCTTTCTAATCAACTGGACCCGGGAGATACTCACTTTGGTTCCTTTGGAAACTTCCCTGAGGAAGGTAGTAAGCTCCAGCCATTCGGCTACGAAAGCCCGGCACACTGCTCTATAATGCGAATCCGCCTGATTTCCCAATGACATATGCGCACTGCATCTCTGTAAAGGAAAATGTCGATGTAATGAATTGTATGCGGGATGTATTGTTTGAGATCGAGGGTGCAAAGCTACAGTCTCGCCTCGATCTTCAAAATTCTCTATGGATATATTCCTTCCTCCAATATCGTTGCTCATACTCCTCTCCATGCTCCTACCACCGTGAATTATCATTCCGTCCCAGGTCATTTATCATCATCCGCGGAGGGGTGGATATTGGCGGCAGTCTCTCGGGCCATATCGACCCTAAGAATACCAGATGCGGAAAGATGCGCAACTCAATCCCCGCAGGTTGTCGGGAGCTAAGAAGCGAAGTTTCGGAGGGACAGTCTTATCGAGCACACTTCAGACGCAAAACGAGATACGGGGTCCGAAAGCAGTCGTCAGCGCTCACAGGGACTTTATCGACTGATCTCCGTTGTCATTTGACATGAAGCATTCCAACCACAGAATTCGTGTATGTACGGTACACAAGCCAGACGACAAGTTCCATCTGGCGCCAAAACTGACCACGGAAGAAGGCTTCGCGCAATCTCTCGGCAAGCATCTCCCATTAGGTATTGGTGAAATCATCGGCGTCGACTAATTAGCGACCGTCAGACCCACACGCACTGCACGCAAACTTCGTGGAGGTACCATCGTTCGATCACTAGTCCACCGCACCGGATGCATCGAGGGATTAACGGTGGACCCGATCGGTCAAAGAACGCCCAGCATATCCTTTGCTCACGCAGACGTTTCCAGCCCAAGTTCGAGCCTCATTCCGATGGTCTGGGCGCTGAAAGACGCCTCTTGATTTACTCCGATATAGGTATGCTCAGAGGAAGCTCGTGAGCACGTACTTTCGAGCACGCACGTCCGCGAGTCGCTTTCTTTGCACGCTCATTATGTTTTTGTTTCATTTTGATTATCTACAGCAAACGGAATCGTGTAGCCGGCGGCCAAGCAAATAGCGGCATGCGGCTTTTCACTCGAACCAGAAAACTGAAAGGAACTCTGATTAATTGACGCAGAATTTCTTTGGATTTGGACCAGAACGTGATTTCAATCCCGAATGAGACGTCGCTTTTCGTGATACGTAACTCTTTCTGCAACCGGATCACCGATTCGAATCCGTTCTTGTGCGGGTAGGTGATAGAACAACACAGGACCCCTCGAAGAGATACCGATTCTCCCCACTCGGGGTTCGGAGTCGGCCAACCCCGCGGACGGTCGCAGGAAGCTGCCTCGAATACGAGGCTGATTCGAAAAATCATCCCACGAAATTCCGTTCCCGAACGATTCCGATTTTCCCGAAATTGAATCAAAAATCGCAGAATTTTCGCGGCATCGACCCGTGACTTCAATGCTCTCTTTAGGCTAATACCGCCACGACATCGTTTCCAGTGACATTCGTGGAAGTGTTCCCGAAACCATTCCGACACAGGTTCTTGATGCCATCCGTGAAACTGATTTCGATTCCACGCGATGTGTAGTGCACTTCTCGGAAGTTTTCTCGATGCCGTTCCCATAACCGTTTCAATCGGGAACCCATTCAGACCGGCGGAGTTGAACCAGTTACAGAAATGTCACAGAATCTTCAGCGAGGCGGGATCAGCTGAGATCACGCACAGACAGCGATATACGTCTGGCGGGCGTCATCTTCAATGTCTGGAAAGCTGACAAGCTCGCGGAGCTACGACGAAAGTAATCGCAGCATTACTTGCTTGATTGACGAATTGGATGATTACCCGATAGTGAGATGAGCAACGTTTCTCCGGTTTACGTCACACGTTTTTCCTCATCCCCGATTTGGTCAATTCAAGGACCTGTCAGAATTTTCTGCATGTCGTTACCGCACGAAATGATATGCTCCCGATGCGGTTTGAATTTCGTGTGTAATTGATCCTTAGACCGTTCAACGTTCATCATTGGGGACCACGTCTCCTCTTTTCCATACGAATATCGATTACCTATTCTAAGTTTTGAGGTCTCAAGGCCTCCGCCGCTGCGGTGTTTCCGATGATTAGTCGCCACGATTCTGTCCTGCGTTTTGTCAGAACGGCAGACACATTGAAACAAATGGTCTCATGCAGATGCTGGCGTGAGATTTCGTAATAGGTACCGGCACGTGTGTTTTTTCGGCAGAAAAGGCTGCCAGAAAGTTACACAAGAGAAGGGACAATTTTGCTTCATTGCCCCCAAGATGAAGAAGACTCACCCGGAGATGTCACAGGGCAACGGGACTGTTCCCGAATGAGAGAATCGAAGGAGATACGTGACGTACGTCCGGAGTTTTGACAGAGTTTTCAATGACCTCGGGACGGAGCCAGGACATTACAAGTCGCTCCATAAACTTCGATGTCTTCGCGTGATCCAAGGACCTTCGAGCATAGTCCCGTTTAGATCACGGCTCTCTGAGCCTTTGAATCACCAAGGAGAGCCGCTCCATGAATCGAGTGACCCGAATGAATAAGTTAGCATTCAGATGTCCGAGTAGCTCGAGAATATGTGGTGTTCGCCCAGGACCATATTTTCTTCTGATCGAAGGCTGCATTCAGCTCGAAAAATGAATTTTGCCGTGTCACAGCCTACCTGTGACGGCATATGATATGAACGAAGGTGAAGGTGACAAATCTGTTGAGCCTGCAACCGAGACGAAATCCTCAAGAGCGGTCGGAAGAGAATAGCTCGATATATATTTTTCTCAATAAGCTTCTCGAAATCAATCCGCTCGGAAGTCGGGAAGGACTGAGCGCTGGCGGGGCCGTCATGTTGTCGTGGCTGGTTGTTGTTTCAAAGGCTCGTTCAACCCACACCAGTCCTTCAGCAGGGCCGTTATTCGGGCTTAGGAGTCAGTCAATGAGCCGACGGGATCACCGAGAAAGCAGCCGAAAAACGAATCGTACGGAAGATATCGATCGATTCGGTGAGCTTTCCGATGAATTAGCTTTCCTGAAGTTGAGTCCTGGTTCCCTTGCGGTGCAGGCACGGAGTTTAAGAAATAATTCATCGCGGGATCCGATGAGTGACAGGATCGACGCTCTTCCCGGTGCCATCTCTTTAATCCCCGTGCGGCAGTTCTAGTTGACGTCGCGATTCATGACGCCGGCTTCGGTCGCATGTCGAAACTGAGGATGGCACTCACTTGTTGACACGGCCCGCAGACGCCACGGGAACATGGACAGCTTCCGCAGTTTCAAATCCGGTTCAATCGTCAGGGATTTACACGAAAGGTCAGCGAGCGGATTGTCAACGGTTTGTCTATCGGATCACAATTGGATCGAGACGCGACGCGCGACGGTTTGATGAAATACTGCGGATACGCAACGCCCGCCGACGTCGGATAAATTAATCGTGCATGGGACAACTTCTCGGTTTCCGATCAAGAGCTCTCTTCAATTAGCGAACCGGTATTTGGAGTGGAATCTCAGTATTCCCGGAACAACAAGAAAGCATGGCTGACGGCCGAATCCAATCTTCCACAGGGGCTGTCCGTGTCTCCCGCCGCCTCGTCCTGCCATGAACAAAAGCGGAATTCTACTCATCACAGTTGCGCAAAGGCCGAGTATTTTTTTCTATGATTACTACTATCGACGACATCATCGGCAGAATAGGCTGCTCGATTCCTTCCTTTCCATCTACTCCTATATCACACCCGATATCTCTATCAATCGATGACATGAGTGCGAAATCGAATGGTCTGACATGAGGGTTCTCACCCCTGTCGACATCGACCGCTAGTTGCTGGTTTTGATTTCGTGAGGCTTTCTATCTCCGGAGCTGAGGCAAATGAAGGGAGTCTCGAAACGCTTGAGTCTTCCATTGCTCCATCTCTGACAGCGTGAACGAAGTTTTTCGGAGCCGCGATCCAAACAGCAGCACACGAGAATTGAGCTCTAAGAGTTTCCTCCAGAAGGCATGGTTATGACTTATGACGCGCTTCGCCGCTCCGTTTCCTGACCTTTCTGCCCTACGATTATCGTGCGTGATCCTTAGGGCACTCTGCCAGGTCAGGACGGTAAGCCAGTGCGGAGGAGTCTGACGGGTTGCTGCGGATTTCCTACATTCAGGATTTCGCAGGGCTTCGGCGAAGTTTCGCTTTAGTGTCCCGGCTCATATATTCATGAAGTGTGGTTGGAGCCCAACAAGTATCCGCAAATCGGTCTCCCGGTCTGGCCAAGCATTAGTCCGTCAAGTCTGATACTTCGCTCATTCGGTCAAGATATCCTAGTCCCATCGACGGAAGTTTTCCGTGACAGAAAACCGGCGGGTTTCAGGCGTCCCACCACCCCGTGAAGGAGTCGATGACGCGGAAGATGACCTTGCGTGACTCCCACATCAATGCTGAGGCTCTCGAAGTCGAGCAAAAAACTTCAACCAGACGCGAAGATTTATAGGAGAATTCGCATCCAGTCGATTTCAGTCGATTGACGCGAGAAGCGCGGAAACGAATGGAGACATTGAATGCTGCCGGTTGTCATTCGCCCGCTCGGTATGCGTAGAGACAATCAAATCAAAAGAAAGAAACCGAATGCCCTACAACTGTGAAGTCTGGAAGGCTCAAACTCCCACTTAGGACCTTGAGCAGCGTGGCTGTGGACAACCGTATGATTCGAATGATCCGACTCGGGATTAGCTCCTAACGCACGCAACGACTAAGAACGCAGAGGCGAGGGACGATGCTGATGGCAGTTTCCACAATCTGACGGAGAGTCCAAACAACGCCGTATATTTTCTAATAACAACATAATTGGTGATCCGCTCGGTACTCTCCGATTTTTCCCGGAGCCTTCCATCTTATGACTCCCTGAATCGCCCTCCTTTATTGAGAATTATGATTATGATGGTATGTATACACGGTTTCCAGCCACTATCGACGCATATCATCGTCGAGGAGCCCTAGCGGAGCAGGCGTAAGGAATCGAGAATTTCCTCGTGGAAACTGAGCTCTCTCGCGAGAGGAATGCGATGGCGCTCACCGAATGAGCCGAATACGGCAGCTAGATGATCAATCTTCGCATCGAAATTAGTACATCTTCACCCGTGGAGTGGGCTCCTCAAGTATTCAACAGATAACGCTGCTAATCGCCGGATGATTTGTTATCAGTGATCCGTGAGAAAGCAGAAAAATACCGAAAAAAACCATCGGCAGCGATATTGAGACATCCCGTTCCAGAGACACCTGATTCCGTTCATCCGGCGCGCAGAGAACACCATCACGACGCCGGCACTCGTAGTTCCTGACATCGAAAAATCGAACGCTATCCATTATCTTGCGGGCCGAAAGGCAAACAGAAGAGCGATTTTACAGAATACAAGCAGTCGCGAGGGGAGAAACCTGATTATGCTTCCGCGGAAATTCGGTAGAATCGACTGCCCACTGAAAGACGGCTCATCGAAGACAACAGAGAGGTCAGCCATGAGCACCTTTGGAAAATTTCGGGGGGACAGCGATGAGCATCGGATTACAGAATTCGTGCGGATCGAAAAACCCAGTAAAACCTGTAATGACGCTGATGATCACAATAATAGAGTATTTAGTGACCACGATCTCACTCGAGAATCAAGTGGAAAAAAGTAGGAGAGTCGAAATAGATAAAGGTAAGCCCTGGAACCGAACGCCAAAGGAGGGAGCAATTCTTGCAGATGGATGACGACGTCATTAATCTACACGAAGCCTCGGACGACGCGATCAAACGAGCGACCTCTTGTACATTGCGCTCACCCGCTCTCTTTCTCATACCGACGATTCCATCAGGATAATTGCTGAAGCCGCCGCGACCGTTGCCGCGCCGGTAACCGATGGTTCCTCTTTTCCCCCTAGCCTCCTCCAACCGTTCTTCCACATCCTCCGCTCCCTCATCTCTCCCAGGTCACCCTGTCCAGGGAAAACTCGGTTTACCCCTGAGACCTTCCGAGTTCGCCGAAGTCGTCCCGACATCGAAGAGAATCGGAGTTCCTCCGGCGGGCTATCACCATCGACCGAGCGGACGAACGTGAGCGATCCAGAAAACGCCGAGCGAGGCGAGTCTGTGAGCCACCGGTTCCATGAGCAGAAGGTGGAGTAGTGAAATTATTGCCGATTTGCTCTGGGTCGTCCCCGTGAGAGCGTATGACAGCTCGATGAACGAGAGGAAGACTCTCGTCGGTAGCATCATCGTCGATGTTGTCATCATCAACATCTTGGCGAAGCAAGAGAAGCTCTCGTACATTTATCCGTCGCTTGCTCCTGGCGGCCGGAACTTCGGCAGCAGCAGTGGCGGCGACTGCAACACGGCGAGCCGGCTCGAGAAGCTTCGGAAGACCACCGAACACTGTACGCCGAGGAACAGCGAGCCATTACACTCAGTACTTAGCATTTTGGGTCACATGGGCAACGCACGGCGCAGCCGCTGTTGAACTCAGATCGTTAACGACGACGTGTGTTCAAACCGCTCGACCGACCGAATGACTTGTCGGTCGGCATCGATGGCAACTCCGGTATCGGCGGCGACTCGGAGTCAAGCAAATGAAAGGATCATCGACGGAATCCACTCCTCGCTTGCGGATCCTAGTGTCGCCCGGCACGACAACGGTTCGGAGTTCCCTCTTAAGCGGAATGTTCCGCGGCCGGGGAACGCCGACCGGTAAGACGAAAATGCCATTCCCGACTCAATCAGCGCTTCTCCGAGCGAGTCACACTAAGAGCCTAATCGCATGTCGCGTCGTCGCCGTCGTCTTTCTGGTCGGCGTTGTGATCTTATGTGACTCTGCTTCTCCGTCATGGTCAAAGTCGAGTCAAAGAGAGACGAGGCGAACCGGGGTTCGAATCAGCGGGGCCGGTCTAACCCGCAGACGAGCCGAGGCAACACCGACCGAGTGGTCATGTCGTGGATTCTCAACGACGACGACGACAGCACAAAGATATCCATCTCTCCGCTGCTTCGGACGCTACACATTTGATAACACGGTCCGGCTCAGCCGACGGGATCTCACAACGGAGTCACTTGATCAGCAACGAACTCATTCAACGGGTCAGCCGCTCGGCGTGTCTTCCCGTGAGTCCTTCGGTAGGCTATCCGTTTTTCTGCCATTGCGTGTGTGAGAAAAAGAGAGACAAAAAACGAAGATGGAAAGGAACCGACCGAGCGGCCAGCCTAAACGAATCACCATGAAGTTACGGCTCCTATTGTTGAATCGCAGCATTTGTAGCCGGGCGTCACTCTACCGGTGATTACATCGAGACGAGAGATTTCTCTCACATGAGCGCTGTGTCGGCCGAATCATTCTCGGACTCGAAACGTCCGCTCCTCTGAATCTCGGCCCATCCCGAACGAATCGTGTCCAACACAATGGATGACTCAGCGTCGACCGAAAAGTATCGGGCTGAGAAAGTACAGATTTTACAGGAGTGGAAGCAGTACTGGCCGCATCGGTGTCGGCAGCTGAGTGAGTCGCTCCACGGACATCAAGCCGAATCCGAGGTGAATCGGAGTGATCCAAAGCTGGGATGGAATGATCCTCGAACACGAAAGCATCATAGGAGTGGAATCGCTCATCGGAGCGTCGAAAGTTCAAATCTCCGAATTTCGGGCCAAGTCGTCATCCAGCCTCGGATCGGGATGGGAGCTTGGTCACGGACCCCTGGAGCAATGCTCGAGAGCGACGAGCGGGGAATTCCTCTGGATGAGCGCGGAATCTCCCCGAATTCGCGCGACGGAACTAGAAAATTCAATACGAAAAAACTAGGCGATCGAGAGAAGGGTTGGACAGACTTTTCTGATACGATCCGGCTACCGTCATGTTCAGCGGGACCTCGTTTCAAGACTGTGGGTATTCGAATTTGCTTCACGGCAGGGGGCGTCAGAACAGACGAGGCAGAGACGAACAAGGAACAAGTTCCGAGGAATCTGAAGTTGACAAGTGCTGCAATGACACACCCTAAAATGACCAGAGCTCATGTCATGCGTCGATGACAGAGGAACTATCAGAAAAAATCCCAGACGAGCCACCTCTTCATTAGAAAATTGATTTGTGGTCAGCCATAGACAAAATATCCAACTCGTCGAAAGGCGTCGGACTTTCTGAACTGCGGGCGCCCCCGGGAGGAAATTCAAAGATAGCCAGGTATGCGGATCAAAGTTCTTTTCGCGAAAATCACATGAAGATATGGGTTCCACTAGGTTAGCTCGACAAAGTCGTCAGGTCAGATCTTGCGTTCCTCGGAAACAATAATAAGAACTGGTATTGGCGGTAGCAGGATCTGAACCAAAACCTTCATTGTCGTAGCGGCAGCCTTACGGCACACGAAAGACAGCAGAATGCGAGAAACTGTCACTTCAAGCTCGCTGTGCCGCGCCGTTGTTTGACGGACTCCCTTGGATAACTTCCGACTGCTAGACTTGACGAAGAGGAAACAATAATGAAGCTTTTCGAAACGTCTCAAATCATATCGCGCCGCACCCCGCAACCGGCAACATTGCGCGGGCCGCTCACCGATACGACTTGTCTTTCAGACAGGCAGTCAATCAGTAAGTCAGTCAGTCCGTCCGACGACTACGCGGTGCGGCGTTTTGATGCATTGATTAAACGAATGCATTCTGTCGAGGATATTCTAGGTCGGGGCGATCCGAACGGAATAGTATTGGAAGAAAAAAACTAGAACAGACTTCGGTGAAAACTAATAGCCTCGACGACTTTAGTCGAAGAGCGAACACTTACTTGAATAACTTTCTCGAGGGTGAGCCCGTCACTCTCGACGTCAGGGCTGCCACTTCGCGTCTCATCATCGAGTTCGACGTCGTGGATTCCTGAAAATCCAAGAAGACTTAATTATAGCGGGACTTGAGGAAACAAACTTCCACGGAGGCGAAATTCTTGGAGTCAAGTTCCCTTAGATGGGGAACCGATCCCCGGTTCCTCAGAGCCCAAAAGACTTGATTTGATTCGGTGAGAAATCGATAGCAGCGCAACGGGTGCCCGCATGACTGTCGTCGCAGATTCGGGAACAGTTCGACACGTTTGAACCCTTCGTGAGAAGAGCAACAAACACATAAAACGGTCACGTGGTCATATAAGGGACCAAAACGGTCGGTCATAAAATTATGGAAAGCGTCGACGGCGAAGGAGAATCGCTACTCTGGTCGCTCAGTCGGTGATTCCTGACTCTCAACCGGCCAAACCGCGCGGGAGAATTAGGAATTTCGCCAGGCTGCAATTCCCAAAAAGTCCAGTATCCAGTTCGCGGTTACTGGTTTGGCTACCCCATTTGCCAAGGCTCGGAACGCTTTGCAAGGCAAGAAGAGATCTCTTAGAAAGCGACTCGGAACATCACCCGAAATGACTCTCTCCGACGCAGGGATGAACCGTGAGCTGGAACGGTCCTAATGACGGCCAGCCCCTTAATGCCGTAAGTCCAAAAAAGCATCGCTTAAGAAAAAGTCACGATGCGCTGCCCGCGAACCAGTGAGAGAAGAAATCGCGGAGCAATCAGCAAGAAAAAGAGAGAAGAAGCACAACGGGAAAATAAGCAGAAAATCGTTTAAAGATAAGCTTCAGAAGCTATTGCCGCCGCGGCTCTTCAAAAACTAGCGATCAACAGCGGTCCCTGATGATTGAATGATGAGCGAAAACCATTGGGGTCGATGCGAATTCATCGATCGTGTCAACGGGCTTTCCCGGACGGATTGATTGCATTTCACTTTCTCCTTCGCCCTGGAATCCGTATGAAAATCCTCAGAAGGTGACGAACGTTTTCTCCCTCTGCTTCCCACGACAAGGGGAAACAAGGAACACTCGTCCATTCGAGTGGCGTGTCTCCATTAGGGGTGTCTTTGTCCCCTGTTATGTTAAAGCATGATAACAAGACGCTTGCCATTGTCGATCGTTCGGAACCATTGGCCGAGCGAGTAGTTCATTACCATAATGAAGTGTCACCATGCCAGACGTCCGACATTCTGGCGCAGACGTCAATCCGCTGAAGAGTTTGACACCTCTTTATCGATGCTCCGGAGACGGATATGCGTGCAACCATGTGCGCCAAGACGTTTCCTACTTATTTTTTTTTATCACAGTCTGCTATCTCCTGGCAGCTCCCTTTGTCCGTTCCATTCATTGTCATTCACGATAAGTTTCCTCGGCTCTAGCGCTTAATTTTCGGAGCTCAGATTTAGAAATCATTAAACACACATCACGGGGACAGTTTCAGGTCGCAATCGAGTTGATACGAGTAATAATGAGTGATAATGAGGCGATAATTAAATACTTGACATACCTTCATCGTAAGCGCCTTCGCTATCGGCCGCGGAGTTTCTTCCGCCACCTTCTGAGTCGTTATCCTCGTCTCGGAGGAAAGCTCCGCTCGGACCGAGTCGTGGATGAGCGTGATGGTGCACGGGGACGTGGGTCGTGTGGGATTCCGAGTCGAGATCGGCCTCGCACGCCGACGTCATCTTATCGAGAAGGAGATCCATCGCTGGGCTGAGAGATCGCTGCTCGTCGGGACCCAACCGAAAATCCAAAGCTCGGAAGAGGACTACTCCTACACTCTGTACCAACTGCAAAGAAAGGGAAGAGAAAATTTTAGAGATTTTTACAGAGTAGAATCGGAAAGTCAGCGTTCATTCCCCGTATGAGAGCTGGGGGACCGACACGAATCCGATGGCCGTTCGAGGAAACGTGCATTGACCATACTGCCGCAACCATGACGCTTATCGGTCCTTTGCCTCGAAGTTCGGGTACTGAGAGGCAAATTTTCGTGGAAATCGGACGAAAAATCATATGTCGGAACGTTCCGCACGCCTGCCCGCTAGCGGGCGTTATGAAATGCCCCAGATCGTCGCAAAGGATTAGCCCCATCCAAACGCGTCTGGAAACACAAAGAACAAGTATGCTACCTCATGGGACTTTAATCGAACCTCCCCTGTATTTGTCCGCGAAGAAAAAAACGTTCGGACACACGTACAAAACGGTGAGACAACGATCAGCGAATCCGAGCCCCGATTTCCTCATGGGCAACACGTATCAGCGGAGAACGAGCAACACTTGAGGCTAGACTCATCTCGTACGCGATAAACTCTTCAGCAGCAATCCAAACAATTCCTTCGCCTCGGTTTTCAGATCGGAATGAAAGCGGTCCCATTTCGGAGTGCTCCGCCCCGAAAGATAGTTTATTCTGCGTTTTCTTGGTGAAAGGTGCAGAAGGAGTCGACGCCCAAAATCTCCGTACGGTATCGGATTCACGGATGCGGAGCAACGGTTGAACAAAGGCCCTTCGAAACTGAAAGTTTTGTTTGTTTTCGGTCGGCAAAGAAAAAAAAACATCGGGCGTAAGAATAGTGAGAGAAAATTGCGGATTGGATGCCAGGTGCGGAGTTTGGATTATTGTCCGGAACACCTCCAGAGACACGCGACAAGAATATTCGGACTTGAAGCCCGACTGGATCTTCGACTGTCAAGCCGCCGCTTTCCATGAGTGTCAATCGAAGTTATCAGTCATATCAGCCATAAGTTATGAATGGATCTTGATGGATGAGACGATTGATTGATTGATGGATAGGTGAATGAATAAGTGACTGGAGTCGGCGGTCTGGCAATGCGTCAGCACCGAGAACTCGCTCTAAAGATGCAGCTCGATTGATGACTAAATCTGAAGATGCATTCCGATCTTCATCTGGAAGAATTCCTCCATTCCTTGCCGACGATAGTTGGACAGTCAGCCGATCGTGATTGACAACGGGCGGGCTTCGATCAACGTGTGAATTGGACCTCGGTCTGGCGGTTCCTTGACTCGAAATCGTCTCAGACTGCCGTATGGCACGGACGCCATTTTCACGTTCCTTTTGTGGACCCGTTCTCCAGGACTTCAGGCTGAAGTGGAAACGAAAGCCGAACGAGGGTTCGACCGGAAAAAAAGAAACTCGAAGAAATCGAGCTTGTCTGTAGTGCGAATCTCTTCGCGACTCGTCTGTCTTTCGCTTCGTAGATATCATGCGACGGTGTCTGTGGCTGGTTATCTGCTTTGTGACGCCTCGTTAGCGGGAGCCGAGAGAGCCACGAGGAGCAAAAAAAACCTTTTCAAATTGCAAACAGAATTTATCGCTCGCCGTCATCGTCCATGTTACTTTAGCCGACGTTTCCCGCTACGCTGAAGTTGATTCACCGAGAAACACTAGCCAGCTGTAACGAATCTCTTCGACAGCCACGGCGACGAAAAGGAGGCTTCGACAAGGAAGAGAGAACATCTTCTGAAGATATATTCGACTTGAGCACAAATAACACCGAGCAGGAATCCGGCCGCAGGTCTCGGCTTTCCGTCGACTATGGAGAAGCAACGTTCAGAAAACTCGACCCGCTTCGCGAATTCCGTGACTTCATGTCTTAGACGACGTGCTAAGGATTAAATGCTAAATACCGTGTATCGGTCGAGCACACGCTCAAGACTCGTATACAGAGACTCGCGGGGAAATTACCTCGGTGGATTCGGAAGACATCGAAAGTATTTCCGCACCAGGAACTTGATCTCAGTGGAACTATCGATCGCGTAACGTGCCCACAGACCGTAGCAGCGGATCTCGGGGAGAAGTCTTCACCCTCATACATAGCATTGATTCCTTCCTCGAGCTGCGAGAGCTCGAAACCTCAATCGGACGCTATTCCTTGAGCGAGCGGTTTCCCGAACCTCGAAGGTCTTGACTTTTTTCGAATTTCATACACCTTGGCTCCTGCTATCGAAGGCACAGGGTGAGTGACGCTTTTTGCGGGATCGCCATCTGGATGCATGCGATTGGAGACGCGCGAGGACCACGGATGAGAGGACTCTGACACATCACAAAAAATCTCCTCATGTCGTTTGCGTCTGCGCCGCGGACGGGGAGACTTCGCCGGCGGTGGGTGAAAGGCTCATTGATCGGTCGCTCATTGATCGACCGACCGGCTGATTTCACCGGTCAGACAGCAAACTATCGGAGCTCACAGACAGCGCAGGCACGTCAGAAGAACCGCGGCGTCGAATTCGATAGAAATCAACAACGACGACGACAGCAACAACAATGCGGAAGTAGAAGGATCCGTCGGAAGAAGCGTGTCTGGAGTGGATTTCGAGAAAGGGAAAGTCGTATCTCCGAACCTGAAGCGCGAGTCTTAACAATAGATCGCGAATTAATTTATTATGGAAGAGGTGGGCGGCTCCGTCTTCGACGGGCGAATGAACGAACGAATAAAAGAGTGCCAAAGTCGTGTTGGAGCACTAAACACTAAACTATCAAATTCTCGTTCCATCCGTTGATGAAACTCGTTGCCGTTGGGTCCCGAGAGCTCCTTTCGACAGAAAACAACAACCACTTTGTGCGCGACGTACGGTTAGATGTTCCTCCAGATGGAGCAATTTATATAATCCTGGTTAGTCGTCTTTCCGCCAAGCTTTGAGGCGGACGACGGTTCCAACAGCCGGCGACGGAAACAATGAGGAGTGAGCGAGCGCTCAGAACAAGAATCTTGATCCTCAGTGCCTGCGCCAGCCGCGAGCTTCTGCTAAAGACGCTCTTTTGGAGTCGAGCGAATTTCAGTCGAGACGAACAGGAGATAAAGCGAAATGAAGAACTCCGCTCCTTCCTGTCGATGGGTTGCGGCGCGCGCGCGGTCTGACGGACGAGCCGTCAACTCAGAGAGCGTGACGTCATCAAGTGCGATGATGAGCCTGAAGGTACCATGATGCGAGCGAGAAGCGAGAAACGAGAAAAAAAAACGCCGTGGTGATGCGAAACTTCTTGGATCCCTCACATGGGCGCTCGATGAAGTGATAAGTCAATATGAGTCGATAAATGAGGCGGCAAAATATGGGCTCGACAACGACGGTGACGTTCGAGCTACTCAGCAACGTTCGCCGGGGATTGATGGTTAGACACGCAGGGGCAGTGTGAGAAAGCTTAATTATCTCAAACAAACGAAGAAAGTAATTCAGACAAGCGTGTGGGCGCTTGCTAACTCGGTATGCCGCTATGCTGGTGGCGGTAACCGCCGTAAAATATTACTCCGTCCAATGTCTAATAGTCAACGTGGAGTAACACGATTTGATTCCCTACGCTTGGTGACGGTACTGCCCGATCTGAAGTCTCCACACTTCCGCAGAACGGACGGACGAACGGAGAGAAGGTGGTAGTGACTGATAGGCGGAGAAACGGATTTCCACAACGGAAAAAACGTTGATTTACTGCTAAGTGCAAGTACAAATAGAGATGCAACGCAGCGAGAACCATGTACGGTAAACGAATACGACATTCCGCGTGCTCGCCGACCCGGAACTTGATTTCTCTTGGGCAGAAGGTCTTTCTCGGCGGCCCGTCGCGACATACCGACCGGACCCCGTACGAAGATCTTGGAAAGTTTTTTTCCCATTCCATTTGTTTCCTCCAACATCAGCGGGGCATGTAAGTCAATTTCCCCGAAGGAGCTTATGGCCTATCCTCAAGTGGCCGTGGAACTCGTTTAGAGTTTCCCAAAACCTCGGGGTTCGTCCGATCCGAAGCGATTCAGGACTCTAGTCGTCCAGGAACCGGGCACATATGACGCTTGACCAGCCGGATACCGAACCCCGCGGATCAGGACAAGGGAAAAACGTAGATCCTTGCGGATGAATGATGTTGAATATGATGCATGGATTTCGGCGTCTACAGCCTGGACCGAGCGGCTGCGGACGGAAAGTCGGGCGAGCGGGCTCGCGAACCCGCAGACAATCGTCATCAGCGCTTGCGTGCATCTTGATTCGGAGCATTAGCTCCTTCAACACGCTGTGCGGCCGATTGATGCGCTGTCGAAGAAGAACAAAAAGCCACACCGCAGATTTCTAATCGTTCGTGTGAAGAACTTTTGAATCACCCAGCAGCCAAAGCAGTCGGTCAGCGTCAGACCGGTTATCTCGAAACTTTTGCCACCGTCCATTGTTATTGTTCAGCATCGGAATTATCTGCAACACCGTCGTCCGCCACCGACGATGTTGTCCGTTGTCTTCTATTTCTCCGTCTCCGGAGCCGTTGCCTGGAAGAGGTGATTCGAAGGCGCGGGCGGTGGAAATCGGCACTTGTACGCAATTAACGCACCCGCGCCCGCTGCACCGAACGCGCGGGTCTCCGTCGGCGAGAAGACGCTGCCGCCGACGGCCGCTCGAAGAGGGACAACAAGCCCATGACGATTCGAACTGATTCCCCTAATTATTATTCATAACTCCTCATCCGCACATTCAGTTCAATGGGTTCGTTGCGGAAAGCTCGCATGCTCGGGTAGAGCTTTCTCGCCGTCGGGACTACCGTCTGAAGCGGCGACTGCTGTCCCAAACGCGCAGACATCCGGGGCTCCGTATCAGCGACCGGTGATCTTTCATCAGATAATGTTGTGGACCAGCTATCATCGATGAGGAATTTTGATTTCCCTCGAATCGATTCCGCTGGAAATCCATAATATGCTCCCCTGTCCCTGAGTTTTCCTCTCCCGATCACTCTTCCGCGGACTTCCCCATCGGGGCTGACGACGACAGTCTTCACTGATGCTCCGCGAGCTTGGC